CACAGCAAACCTGTGTGTAGGACAGTGAGGTGCTGCCTGGTCCTATACTATCCGCATCCTTATCTTTGAGCTCATTGATTGGTTGCTTTGTCTGACCATCCCCTGAGCGGCTTCCTCTTTTTTGCTAACTCTTTACTAAGCATAATGCCCTTCAAATATTGGCGCCTTCTGATAACAAACCCGAAGTACATTAGACAGATTCTCGCCATCCTTGCATTCTGGGTATACTGCCTCCAAAGCAGATGAGAGTGTTCTCCTGGCATCTAGTGCTTAACGTGCTACATCACAGCTATAATTCAAGTGCATCCGTTCTTCAGATCTTCCCTTGCTCAGTGTCCAGGTCTTCTCATGAGACAACTGAGGAGAGCTCTAAGGGCTTAGTAGTAAGACCTGTGTGCCATCCTAAAGGTACATGGTGCAAATCCACCAGCTGCTCTATAGGAGAAAGATGGGCAGTCTTCTTCTTTGTGGTTTACAGCTTCTGAAAAACTTCTGGAGGGTCAACTAAGGGTTGCATCTGACTTGATGGTACATAACAACCAAGAGGGCCCTGAGAATACTAGGGCTTGGGGCAGGTGCATCTTCACCTGCAAAATGACATCTTTGCTCTGTAACATTTTGAAAAGGTTCTCTGGAGCACCCCAGGTTAGTGAAGAGCAAATAAGGGTGAGACCATTGTATGTTTTTTCTAAGATAGTTGACTAAATAAAGGGCAAACCTTCCGTGACTTACTTTCAGCACATCTGAATGAAACCTGTAGACATTTTGGTGATGGAGAAATATGCTGCAAATGTGTGTGTTCTGGTGTCCATGTTCGGGCTCTTCACAAAGGCTGGAGGCCTACGGATCCGTTTTGACTCATTATTACACCTGACTGTGATCTAGCGCAGTATTCATGTGGCCAGCATCACGTTGTGGTGCAGCTGGAGGGAATGCTGGTGACCTCAGTTCCACTTGCAGCTCTTTTTGTAGGCAAGTAGCTTCTTTTTCCTTGCCCTCAGTTTTTAATCTGTTAAATGAGCTAATTGTAATAGCTGATCTTTAGAAACTTAACACATGTACAAGTGTTTGGTTGATTTTTTTTTTTTAATTTGGGAAAGAATACATTTGCTGTTAAACATCTGAAAGCAAATCGAGGAGAGGAGGGCAGGAAGCTATATTTAGTGGGGAGATTTACATTTGTTAAATTAAACTCAACATTATGATATTGATGATAAGGGCTGGAATGAAACAGTCTACACCATTCTTCCCTAACTTTAATATGGCACAGATGTGATAATAAAGTCCATATGCAGCCTCGCTGAAAGTATCTGATTAGACACAAAATGTTAAAGCAAAAAAAATATGATAAGTAAATTGAGCTATCAACTTGTTTAAGGCAGTACTGAGAATAATAAAAAAACCCAGAACAAAATGTGAATACTAAAACAAAGTATGAGGCGAATTTTCAGTTTATTGGTTCTAGTCCCGTGTAGGTTTAGCAGATAGAAAAAGAGATTGCTCCTTTTGTGTGTTAAGTGAAATTTTAATACTTTTAAAGGAAAACATAATGTGAAAATGAATCTTGGAGAACTTTTGAATAGGAAGCATTATAAACCATATTTAGTGCATTTGAATATCTATATTGTAGTTAGTAGGATTATAATGTGTGTGTGTGTGTGTGTGTGTGTGTGTGTGTGTGTATAAATTGACTTGAAAAAGCATAACCTAATGGCTTATGATTAAAACAGACTTGGAAGCAGGTGTGGCTTCTACTTCCAAAATAGCTTGCCTCTGGAAACTCTATGAACTTAGAGAAACAATGTAAGTTAATGCAAGAGTTCATGTCTTTTGTTCATAGGGTCACTAGGAATCGTCTATGACGGCACTTAAAAACAACAACGGTTAGAACAGTATTTAGACAGAGAACTGCCAGAGTCCAAACTGGGTTTAGAAGAGGCTGTGGTACCAGTAATATCATTGCTGATGTCGGATGGATTATGGCTGAAAGCAGAGAATAGTAAGAGTGTCTGTGCTTTATTGACTTTACAAAGGCATTTGACTGTGTGGATCATAACAAATTATGGCTAACATTGAGAAGAACAGAAATCCCAGAACACATAATAGTACTCATGAGAAATCTATGCCTATACCAAGAAGCACTTGTGCCAATAGATCAAGATAATTCAAGATAATACTGCATGGTTTGAAATTAAGAAAGAATGTCCTTTTCCCATACCTATCCAATTTTTATACTGAGCAAATTATTTGAGAAGCTGGACTCTGTAAAGAAGAATGTGGCATCAGGTTTGGAAGAAGACTCATCAGTAACATGATGAAGCTTTGTCTCACGTTCTTTGGGCATGTTGCTAGGAGAGGCTATTCCTTGGAGAAGGGCATCAAGCTTGGAAAAGTAGAGGGTCAGCAAAGGAGAGGAAGACCCTTAACCAGATGGATTATGGTCACGTGCAGCAATGGGCTTGAGTGTGTCAGAGATTGTGAGGATGGCACAGGATAGGACAAGGTTCAGACCTGTTGTTCATAGGGTCACAGTGAGTCTTACTTGACTCTACAGCACCTAAGAACAACAATAATAAATTTGATTCTTTTATATCGGAATATAGCTAGTGTGAGAAATACGACAAACTGTGGAGATGGTGTCAGCCCCGTGCTCCTTTCACCTCCCTGTGTTAAAAAAACGAGTGAGTTCATAATTTAAAAACAAAATTATCCAAGAATGAGTATTGATTCCATATGGTGACTCCTTCCACCATATTTTTATTTTTCTTGGCACTCTCCTTGGCTTAGTTTGCCTTCTTCCATATGTGTTTTTATTAGTATATTAAGGTATTTGTGTGAGCTATGCAGTATTCAGCTCTTAGCCACAACCACATATTGCTCTGCCACCTGCTTGAAGTTTGGAAAACTAGTTGTGAATACAATATAGACTTTGATTCAGGATTTTTCTTTCCTTGAGACATTTGCATGAAAACAGAATCTTTGATTTTAAGAACCTAGCTGTTCCTCTGGCTTATTTGCCACTGAACTTGTCATAAAGCTCCACTGAAGGATGTTGCAGCTGCTTACTGTGGCAATGATTGGCACTAACTACAAGACTATGACTCCAGATAGAAATGGAGCAGATAGAACTGCTAATTTCTTGAAGAGACGGTGTAAGCTCAATTTTCTGAATATTATTGCAAACCTTCTTTTAATACCTTAGCAGTGATTATTTTGGTTTTTGGTGTGGGTAAATATTTAAAAAATCAAACCCTAAATAAAGAGCTTAACTTTATTTTCCATTTTAGTTTTTTCCTTAAAGTTGTGTTCTTTTGAAGATTCAGTTCTTCCCAATAACTATATAGCAGACATTATCAGTGAAATGCATACATGTGTGTATGCTAGTTTTCTTAAGAGTGCATTTGAGGAACAGCATTCATTTTAGGATGTGTTGAAAAGCAGTTTGTGGCTAATTTAATGTTTGTTATGTCATGTGTCATTGAGCCAGAACTGAACCAAAGCTGACCCTCCAGTAGGTTTTCAGAGGCGGTAAATTGCAGGGAAGTAGATTACCCATCCTTCTTCCACAGAGAAGCTGGAGGATTCAAACCGCATGCCTTTGGGGTTCAGCTGAGCTTCTTATCAGTAGGCCACCAGAGCTCCTTTTATAAAGTATTTTCTTTTAAAAAATACAGAAAAATGGCTGCAGCTCCGGTAGCCTACCCTATGAGGATTTGCAGTTCAAACCCCAAAGCTGAGCCTTTCAGGCAATTAAAATTCACCTCCATCTCCGAGAGAGAAAGATGGGCAATCTTCATGCAATTTACAGCCTTGGAAACCAGTTACAGGATCAGCTAAAAGTTGCTTCAACTTTTATGCCAATAAGGTTGGTCTGACTTGATGCCAGTGAGGTGGGTCTTTAAAAATATTCATGAAACCCACAGCCATCAAGTCAGTTATGACTCATGATGACCCTCCATTAGATTTCAAAGGTTGTAAATCTTCGAGAGAGGAAACATCTTAATTTTTCTCTCTTGGAGCAGCTGGTAGTTTCAAACTTCTGACCTTTTAGTAAGCAGCCCAACACATAAGGCACAGTACCATCAGTGGCATCTCATTTTACATCTATGAGCTCATTGTTCATATCTTTATTATATGAAGATTGTAGGTATACATGTGAGAGGCAGGAGTTTGAGTTGGACAATTTCTGAAATATTTTCACTTCTAAATAGTATCTGACTTTGTGGATGTAAAAGGCTTTGAAGATTCGTTGGCTAAGTGTATTTTTATTTCTTCATTATTGGCTTGGCTTTTTACTGTAGGGAATTTCATATTATGCTTGGCTCTATACTACCAAGCTGCACATGGATTTCTGAAAGACTTAATTATATTCTACAACATTTAATTTGCTTGACTATTACACATTTACATTTGTCTGAGATGTCTTTATCAAACAAGAATTTGTCTTAGCTTTTAAGAATGTGAACAAGCTGAAAATAAATGGAAATGGGGTCATTTATCAGTATGTGTTCTTTTATTTCATTAGTTGAATTAATGTCTAAGCATTTGGCCTAAAGGATATATGTAGTGTCACTATTTTGTTAATGATTTAGCTTTAATCTACTCTTCCTGGTACCTTAAAATAAGAACAAAAGTTATAAATTATTAAAGATTCTTATAATCTCCCATCTCATATGAAGTACTTAAGCAATAAAACTAATGGAGCTGTCACTCTCCCTCTTTTATTTGCTCTTTTCTAGACATTGGTTGGATAACTGTTCTGTTTTTTTGTGCCATTTATAATCTAGTGACAGAAATTGTTCTGTCTTTAAAGTAGAAAGCCAGTGACTTATTTTTATGTCATCAATGCTTTCATAGTCAAATGATCAGACGCTGATTTATGCAAAACCCTTTGAAATCATTACATAAAGGGAATCAGCAAAGTAGTGTCTCACTGAGAAAATGGACCAAATAGATACTGGTTTTGCTCTTTTCATGGTAATATTTTGCCATTTATGTAGATATCCTTGGAACGGAGGATCTTGTATCAGAAGTGGCTTCCAACGATGCTGTGAGATTTTATCCCTGGACCATTGATAATAAGTACTATTCAGCGGATATCAACCTGTGTGTGGTGCCAAACAAATTCCTTGTCACTGCCGAGATTGCAGAGTCTGTCCAGGCATTCGTGGTTTACTTTGACAGCACGCAAGTAAGATTTTGTTTTTCATGGAGCCAGGAATAATGCTCTGCTTCCCGCCACTGTCTCTCTCCAGCTCCCTGGCGAATTTTCTGTGAGTTCTCTAAATATCTTTTTCTGATTTTGTTTGTATGTTTTCCTTTCCTTCCTCTAGAAATCTGGTCTTGATAGTGTCTCCTCATGGCTTCCATTGGCAGAAGCGTGGTTACCTGAGGTGATGATTTTGGTCTGTGATAGAGTATCTGAAAACGGTAAGATATTTGGATGGGACAGTTGTTGTGCATATATTTGCCATTCCTGTGTAAACAGAATACATCCTTAACGTAGAACAGTACCTATTACATGCTAAATTGTATTCCTTTATGAAAAGTCTTTCATTTACTTCTCTTTGGAATCTTACAATTTTTTTATTTTTTTAAAGAAAGCACACTTTGGGGTTGAGAAATAATTTTCTTTGTGTTACTTTATTAGTAAGGAGTTGCACTGCCATCCCAAAGCCATAAAGTTCAAATCCACCAGCTTTGTAGGTGAAAGATGAACAGTCTTCTGCTGTGTAATGTACAGCCTCTGAAAACCCTTTGGAGAATCAGCTATGAGCCCGTTCCAACACGACAGTACATAACAATGGAAGTGTTTCTAGAATAACACTGAAATTAAGATAAATACATTGAGACTATTGAGAGAAATATTGCAAGAGGTGTTAATGATTTATTTTCTTTTTATTTATAAACATTATTTTACATATAATTTTAGGTGTAAACCGACAAAAAGCTCAAGAATGGTGCATCAAACATGGCTTTGAATTGGTAGAACTTAGTCCAGAAGAACTACCTGAGGAGGATGGTATGTGTATGAAGTTGAAATCATGGCATTTGAATCCAGATATGAGAGCTTATTTTAATTCAAGGAGAAGACTCACAATTGATTTTGTTTTGTTTTTTAAATACAGATTATCGTCCCTCCACTCCCCTCCCCCACGGCTATTAGAAACAAGTAGAGAAAAATCCATTGATATGTCACTGATCAATTTGTTGTTGTTGTTAAGTGCTGTCGACTTGTAGACTACTCGTAGCGACCCTATGAACAAAAGACCTGAGCATTGTTCATAGAATTTCCAGAGACAAACTATTTCAGAAGAGGATACCATTCCTGCTTCCAAGCTTGTTTTAATTGGGAAGCTCCATCAAACACTGTCCACCATGGGTAACCATTATCACATTTGACACATCAGAGTCACAGTATTTAGCATCACAGCAACCACAAGTTACCTCTGTACAGCAATGTACAGACCATGCTCTACCACACAGAAGAATGTTTGACTAAAACCAGGCCTGAGTACCACAGATTAAAATTGCCCACCTTGAGCTTGGTAGCATCATTTTTGGTCCACTAGGCCAATGTAGCTTTCTCTATGTTGTTGTTGTTAAGTGCCGTTGAGTCGTAGACAACTCATACTCATCCATTTATATGGTTTTACTACCCATTTTAGAATTTTGAAGATGTGTTGTTATTCCCCCCCCCCTTATGGATAAAGGTAGAGGATCTACCTTAAATCTTTGTTATTTCCTCAAGCCCTTGTCTTTTCCCTCTGCTCTTCCAGTTATAGGGAGCTCTGGTAACGTAGTCCGTAGGGAGTTAGTTGCACTGCTAGCCCAGAGTTCAGGTCTACCAGTGACTCCTCCAGGGAATGATAGACAGCTTCCTCCCATGTGATTTATAGCCTCTGAAAACCTGTTACACACTCAGCTATGAGTCAGTTTTGAGGTTCTAACTCAATGGCAGTGAAATATCCAGTTACATTCTCAGGGCTAGGCCATGTCATTAGAAACAGGTTCTTTGTGAAGTGTGTTCTATACATATGTAGTTGTTGTTGTTAAGTGCTGTTGAGTCATAGACAACTCATAACGACCCTTTGAACAAAAGACCTGAACACTTGTATAACTTTCATCGTTTCTCCAAGTTCATAGAGTTTCCAGAGGCAGAATATTTCAGAAGTGGATGCCACTCCTGCTTTCAGGCTTGTTTTAATCAGGGAGTTCCACCAAACGCTGTCCACCTTGGGTAACCATTACTGAGTTTAACACATCAGCATCACAGTGTTTAGCATAACAGCAACCACAAGTTCTCTGCACAGCAAATTGACAGACCAGTGCTCTACCACGTAGAAGAATGTTTGACCAAAACCAATTAAAACCAGGCCTGAGTGCCACAGATTAAAATCGCCCACCTTTGGCTGTGTAGCATCACTTTCTATCCACTAGGCCAATAGAGCTCTCTCGTTGTTGTTATGGTTAAGTGCCGTCGAGTCATAGACTACTCATAGCGACCCAATGAATGAAATACCTGAACTTCATAACTTTCATCATTTCTCCAAGTTCATAGAGTTTCCGGAGGCTATTTTGGAAGTGGATGCTACTCTTATACATATAGGTAGCTTACATTTCAACCCTATGAGAACTAATGTCATATAATCTTCAATGCCCATAGGATTTCCCTTTCCTTAGTATGCAATCACCTTCATTGTAGCCAAATATATCACTTTACTATTGCTATACTCACTGGAATTACCAGCCCACTATTTTAGTTTTATTAGTCAAATTTCAGCAAGAAGATAGTTCCAATATTTAGTTTATTATTTTTAAAAGTATCCTTTCCCTGCCTCTTAACACTTAAATAATAATTTCATTTCTTACTCTGAACCTATCTGTGATCAAGAAGTTCTCCTCTCAATAGTTTTCATAAATAATAATCTCTATACTCTGGAAGGGAACTCTGGTGGCCTAGTGATAAGGAGCTACATTCCCATCCCAAAAGCATGCAATTTGAGTCCACCAGCTGCTGTGTGGGAGAGAGCTGAGCAGTCTCCTCCTGTACCATTCACTGCCTCTGAAAATCCTCTAGAGAGTCAGCTTTGGGTTGATTCTAACTCGATAGTACATCATAGTAATATTCTCTGATTCCCAGGGGAAGATAGGGTATTTACAGGATTTTATAACACCTATAAAAACCATTTCTGCCTTCAGAACATTATATCTCAGATAACCAAGATGATTCCACTTTGACTCTCCCAGCAAGTAAAGGAAACATATTTTGGGAAGACTGTGAGCGAATCCCATTCGTGAGGCAAAGAGGATGACTTTATAATTAAGCCTCTTACTGCTGTATGTTTGTTTCATTATTTTAGTTTCTGGAATATTGGGAATTTTATGTTTAATATTTGCTTTATTTTTCTCCTTAATACATAAGTTACAGTACAAAGTGACATCTAAATAAACAAGATAATTAAGCTGCAGTTATTTGAAATTGTGATGTGGAGGAAATATTTCTACTTATAGATGAATGTCTTTATGTATAAAATGGGTATGCAAATGACATCTTTAGAAAAATACATATATTCTTTCTCTCCCTGATTAGATGACTTCCCGGAATCTACCGGAGTGAAGAGAATTGTACAAGCCTTAAATGCAAATGTTTGGTCCAATGTTGTAATGAAGAATGGTAAGTAACTGACTAAACATTGTTTCTTTACCTCCTTATGAGTTTTGGATTTTTCTGATAATATGTGCAGCTATTAGACTTATGTGCAATCTATTATTTTATTCCAATTCTTGATTCCCTGTACATTGCTAGGAATTGTTACTGCATGCTGGATAGTTAATTCAGCGAGAATCTGCAGCAAGCCTATAATGTACCTGGTAACGGCTTTGAGAACTATCCCCAAATTATAAGATATCACCTCTGTCCCTAAGGAGCTCTTAATACAGCTGTAGAATCCAAATGTGCATTGTAAACACATGGTAATACTGTAAGGCTGTATGTGATGAACGCAGAATGGCTAATAATGTAGAGGCAGTAGGGCATCGAAGTTATAGGTTTGTCTGGTATGTGCTGTGGGCTTGAATTGGACAGAGAGAGCTTCAAAGAGAAGGTGGGTCTTGATGGTAGTCTTCCTGGGATGGCTAAGTTTTAGTTTGGTGAAGGTGAGGCTTATAAACTATGAAGGAACCTTGACATCAAGAATAATGGTTGTTGCTGCCTCTCCCCCATATTTCCTTTCTCTAAGGAGGGAGGTCCATCTCTTTGGAGAAGTAACTTTCTAATAAAGCTGTCTTTACTCTGTACCTTTTTTTTTTTTAGAAAAAAAACCCACAACAATGTTTAGGAGAAAGGGGGTAGTTTACGTCCACAAAGTTTATAGCTTTGGAAACCCTATTGGCAGTGTAGGATGACTAGGAGCAGGAATCCACTCAGTGGCTGCAGATTTTATTTTCATTCAAAGTCTGTTATTAAAGCTTGAAAGAAGAAGGAAAAATGGTTCTTTTAAAAAATAATGATTATATCAAATTGACAATAACTCAAAAGCCTAGATAGGAATCTTAGGGAGTAGTGAATTTACACTAGTGGGAGGAACAATCGAGAAAAGGGCAGTGAGAACAGTGACACAACTTATAACTTGAAATCACTGTCACTAAATGGTGTTTGCAGAAACTGTTGTAGTGGTAGATGTTTTGTAGTGTATATTCTCAACAACAAACAGAAATAAGTAAAATTGTGTGTGTATCTATCTAGCTATCTATCTATCACATATATATTGTTGTGTACTGTTGAGTCAGAACCAACTGATAGCAGACCCTCTGGTAGGTTTCCAGAGGCAGTTAATCGCACGAGAGGAGAATACCCATCTTTCTCCCGTGAAGCAGCTGGTGGCCTCAAATCATATGTCTTCGAGATTGCAGCACAGCTTCTTGCCGCTAGGCTATAGAGCTCCCATAAATATGTAGAGAATGAGAGAGAGAGAGAGCGAGCACACCGCCAGCGCTTCCTAAGTATACATGTGTGCTACAGGAGAAAGATGGACAGTCTCCTCCCAAGCAATTTACTGCCTCTGAAAACCCACTGGGTCAGCAAGCAATTTACTGCCTCTGAAAACCCACTGGGTCAGCTGTTGGTTGATTCTGACTCAATGGCACACACCACCACCATTTCCACATACGTACATAGACATAAACAAACACTCACCACATGCACATGTATATATAAATAACGAATTAAGGCTTATATGTTCTAACATCACTAGGAGACTCTCTCCCAGGATTAGGAACTAGCTTGAGACCTCAATGCCAGGCAGGAGGATCTGGCTATTTACCTATAGGAATTAGTGAGTCACTGAAAAATGTTAACAAGGGATTGATGCAAAAGTGTTGACGTCTTTGAAAAAGGTTTATGTGTTTGGGGTGTCCAGAATGGTTTGACAGTTGAAAGAGGTGGACATAGAGTGAATTCAGGGAGACCAGGAGAAGTGAGGTCTTGGAACCTAGGCTTCTGAGGTGGCAGTGGTCACTGGGTGGAGGACTGGAGATGAAATGTCAGCTGAAGGGGGTAAGTTAACACATGCTGCATTTGTAGAGTCTTTTTCTTATGTTTGGCTGTCTCAACAAATAGGCTATGCTAGATGGATGGAATCCTAGCGAATGAAAGGAAAACATGTTTTCCCCCTTCATAGTGAACTTCAGAAACCCTGCCAGTTATGGGTTAGGCATTGACTGCTAACCAAAAGATTAGCAGTTCGAAAGCCCCTGTTGTTCCATAGGAGACAGATGAGACAGTCTGTTCCCATAGAGCTCAGTCTCAGCAGCCCTGTGGCACAGCTCTGCGCTGTTCTGTAGGATCACTGCTGGTTCGAATTGACTCTGTGGCAGTGGGTTATCACGAGCTTACTTTATCTTCTCTGACATAAAGCGTCAAGTGGTAAATCAGTTTTATAGAAGTAGAATATTTCATCCCAGTTTTTTTATAGACACTAGAGTATTTAGTGAAAAAGGATCCTTTTAGCACAGAAGGAGAGTGGATGCTTTTGAGGTGTGGTGCTGGAGAAGGGTACTGAATGTACCATGGACTGCCAGGAAAACAAACAGATTCATCTTGGAGAGGATTAAACCAAGCTACTCCTTGGAAGCAAGGATTCTGGGGCTTCGTCTAACATACTTTGGACATGTTGCCAGGAGGGACGGGTCCTTGGAGAGGGACATCATGCTAGGGAGGGTGGAGGGACAGCGCAGGAGGGGAAGACCCTCTATGAGATGGATTGATTCGGTGACTGGGGTAATCGGGATGGGTGTATCAGAGGCGGTGCGGTTGGCGCAGGATAGAGCAGGGTTTAGGGCTGTTGTGCACAGGGTCGCTATGAGTCGGAAACGACTCGACGGCACATAACAACAACAAGGTCTGCCCTAACATTTGTCATCAGATAGGCTACTTCTGACTTATAAAGGTACCCCTTCTTTGTTTTCTTCCCTCCCTCACTTCCTTCCTTCTTTTCTTCCTTCCCTTCCTCCCTCCCTCTCTCCCTGTCTCTCTTTCTTCTTCCCTTCTTTTCTCCCTCCCTCCCTCCTGTCAAGTTGATTTAACTCATAATGACCCTGTGTGCGCCGTGGTAGAACTGTGCTCCATGGAGTTTTCAGTGACTGATTTTTTTTTTTTAACGTAGACTGCCAATCCCTTCTTCCAAGGCATCTCTGGGTGCACTTGAACACTATTTTGGGGTAGCAGTCAACTGCATTAATCATTTGTACAACTCAAGGACTTCTCTTTGTTTCTAGTCTATTATGTTGAATTGCCACAATATTAGACCTTATGTTGCTATGTTGTTGTGTTGTTATGTGCTGTTGAGTTGGAACCAACCCATAGCTGATCCGCTGGCAGGTTTTCAGAGCCAGTGAATCTCAAGGGAGGCGATTGCCCTTCTTCCCGTGTCTATTGCTATAGCAACCAAAATAAGACCCTGGAAGGAATAAGATTTTAGCCATATAGTCACTTCCCTATGACTAGTTACTAAACACTCAAAAGGCTTGGTCCTTGCTCGTTCTGTTTTTTAGCAAATCCTATTGAATCTTTGCCATGGTGAGATACAGCTCTACACAGTCCACATTATAAAATAAGTTTAAGATATGGTACATAAACTGGATCAATTTAGAAAAAAATGATACTTAGTGGTACTTGTTACATTTATGAGAATTGCTCTCAGAAAAGCCTATTAGACTTCATGCACTTTTTCCCCCAATTTGTAGTTCACATTTATGGTTACCACTTTAGAAGCTGGGCTGAATCCCCTATATTACTTTGGAAATATGGTTCAAGGTGTTTTTGATAAGCCATTCTGCTTGTTTTAAACACTAGATAGTATTCGGAAAAGAACTATAAAACAAAGAGATACATTATGGATTTTTTTTTCCATGGACCTCTTTGCCCTGAAGTTCTTGCTTTCTTCTTTTATCTTTACAGGACTGGAGATAGTGAGGCGGTTGCAGGACAGATAGATCCTAGTCCTAAGGTTGCTATAAATCATAGTTGACACAGTGGTACCCAGCATCAACAAAGACACCTGAGGGCTTTTTAAAAACTAGGTGTCACCCAGACTGTCTAGGAGAAGGAAACAGTGGCTGCAATTTTTTTTTAGGTTCCTCATGGGTTCTCATATGCAAAGTAGTTGAGAACTACTGACATAATGTTCTTATGCTTCATGGAGGTAATTAGGCATTTTAGAAACAGCATTAGCCCTCTGACTGACCCAGATTCTCCTCTTCCTAAAGCATGTAGTGAGTTATCTGACTTCCAAAGCCAGGGCTGCACCCAGCAGAGAGTTAGCACCAGGCAGAGGCCAGGAGTGGGCACTGTGCTCTCTCTCCCTGCTTCCTTTGTACCTCTCCCTTGTATGGACTGACATCCTAAAACAGTCACCTGTGCTTCTATTAGCCACTCTGCTTTGAGAACTGAAATAAATATTAGCCCTTTTAAGTGGCTGTATAAATGTCTAGGGTCGTACCTTAGACGCTGAGAGTACTTTGAGCTATTTTGGGATTTTTTTTCTGTGAGCTTCAGAAATATCAGTTGTGTTCAGTTCAAGTTAGGAAGATACTTGGCCTAAACGTTAAAAAAAAAATTCTGTTATTTAATTTTTTCTACTAAGTTTCTATCAAAATGACATGTTCTTATGTTTTATAAGAACTATTTAATAAGAGACATTGTTTTACTTGACATGAAAGTATTTGCGAATTACCTAGTGTTTGGCATTTAAAACATAGAATCTACACATCTGCCTCTGGTACAGTTCCTTCCTATGACAAATGGGAAAAGTAAGACTCCAAAAGGAAAGGTCTTGTCTGTATTCACACAGTGAGTCAGGAGCAAAGATATGACTGAGGCCAGACTCCTGACGACAAGGGTTTTTCCCATTCTAGTTAGTGTCTTACTTTACATTATTAACCAGTTAGAGAAATGAACACAGTGGTTAATTTACCCAGATTGTGTGGGAAATCATGAGCAGAGCCAAGTGAATTCACTGACTCCAGAACCTCCTCAGCCTGATTGCTTCTGGCATGAGCGAGTTTTTTAAGGAGGCTCACTGAAAGAGATGTTCGAGATGTTGGATTTGTTTGCTTTCACCTTTAAAAAGAAAGAAAACTTCTCGTTTTCTAAGAAAGATAGCCTTCTGAGATGGC